CTAGTGCTCTATGCCTGTAAACAATGAAGCTTACCTTTTTGAAAACCAATTCGAGAAATTCTGTAAGTAAATATTTATTTTTTCGAAATTTATTTTAATACATTATTTTTAAAGTACACGATAAGTTAATAATTTTATAATAAAAAACTTATGATCTTGCTGAACCACACGCACATATGTATATACTATACATTATACTACCTCATGCAAAGAAAAACCGATTCTCCGTATATGAATTAGGCGAATTAAAAAAATTCGGTTAATGTAATACTTTCATCAAAATGAATTAGAATGTAAATTATCTTCTCCATGAAGATGTTGCTTTCGACAAGTTATTTAAAAAATTTCTAGAATCAGTTTTCAGTTTTTAAGAAAAATGTGCTCGTATAGTTATTTAGTTCGAAAAAGTTTGCATCAACGCAAAGGATTTTTTTCAGCGAAATAAATGATGAAAAACTCTTTTCTTAAAATTTCAATTAATCAATCAATTAAGCATTATAAAGAAACGCTTTATTTTAATCTGTAGGGCCATTTATTATTTGCGTAGCTCACTATCACAATACAACCAATAAGTCTATATTTCCTCATACAATATCGACCCGCCTACTAAATATGTATGTATATTTATTTGTAAGAAAGAATTTCTTAATAAATGTTATGGTAGAAGATATAATCTATTTTTGTTAGCACATTTATACATATCATACATACATACATACATACATACGTAAATATCCATTAAGCTACAATAATACAAACATACCTACTAGTATATGTATATGTGCTCAAGGCTCATAATAATATGTATATGTAACATACATACAAATATATGTAAATATATTTCCTCTTAATGCATTCGCAGCATACAAATTCGTTGTACAAACAAGCTATATTACGTTGAAAAATGTTGTCCTTAACCATAGAGATTTCATTGAATATTCTTTAACAAATAATGTACATATATACATATAGATTGTCCTCCGCAATAACGACACAATTCAAAATTCCAAAAAAAAACTGTTAGTACGGTTCAGTGGCTCATGCCAAGTATACTGTAAGTGATTTTTAATTTTTTTTTTTTTTTAATTCTGTCGTTATTGCAGAGGACCATCGATATGCATGTTTTCTAGAGTTTAAGTTTTATAAAATGTTTTCATAATTTGTTTTCATTTTAATACTTATTTAGATACATACATACGTATATGAAAAATATTCAGTTACACTCACAGATGATCGGCAAAGAAGATATACATATTGTCTATGTATTTATAAAACTGTAATGATCAAAGCATTTCGGAATTTCTTAATGCTAAATTTGTTTCGATGAAATTTGTAAGCGCTTCGCAATACATCCGGGCTAAGACGAAAATTTTGCACACAGAAGGCGAATTTCACACACTAACAAAATATGTATGTATATGTATTTCGTTGCAAGAGTTGAAGATGTTTAAAAAGTTAAATATTTGCTGTTGCCATAAAGATGTTTATGCCCGGAGCAAACAGTTATTTGGTTATACAAATTTAGTTTTTAACACAGCAGTTGGCTTCATCGTTTCAAAGTTGTTCGTATTTATCAAAAAAAAAACACTAATCGAACATATACAGTTCCTTCGTGGAGCCAGTGTAAATATAATACATACATATACTACTTAGAATTTAAATTATAACCGAATTCAGCTTACAGTGGACTTTTTTGAGATTAGCATGTAGGTAAAGAGAGAAAGGAGGAAAGATTCTCAAATATTTTAATTTATACAGAGCCTTAACTTTGTTAATCACCCCTTCTTATCTAGCTACCAATTAAAAGAAAACAAAGTTTTTTCTGAGAATATGTCTAATATGAATCAATACTATTATTACTAATATTATCTACATACTTATTTCTCAAAGGTTTTTTCAGAGAGAGAGAGAGTTCATCTTGGAAAAATTAGTCACGTTTTTTCTTCTGGAATTAGTATCCGGTCAACCCAGCTACATATCTTCCACACATTTATGCGGCACCCTGAAATTGTGCATATGGAAAC